ATAAGATGAAACCTTGGGTCAATAAAATCATGTGTTACAATGCAGTATTGGCACAATTTTGCCAAAATTATTTGCCAGTAAAATGTTATGTGTAATGTGATGTTTATTTTTTTTGACAGTGCTATTACATGTCTGCTCTTTTTTTGGTGTCAGCTTGCAAAGGTAACAAAGGTGATATACTTTGATGATCATTCAATTCATAAAAGATTGGTTGGCTAAAAAATCTAGTTAGGATACGTTTTGCTTTATATTTAAATATTTCATCTTCAGACATAGTATCAAAAAAGTCTTCCATGGGGGCTACATCAATACTTACATTAGAGGATCCAACAATATGCCTAAACTTCTGCCTTTTTGGTACTGGTTCCACCTCAGAAGTAGGCAAGCCTGGTTCTAAAACTGTTCCAATGCTCATAATTGATAGATCTGATTCTTGACAACCATGCACTTGAGATGATGCTTGCTTCCCTAGCTGCTCTAACTCTCGCTCTGCTGACTCAATGTTTTTTCGTAAAAGTGCCACAGCATTAACCCTTTCAAGCTTGAGCCCAATGATCTTTTTATCCCGAAGCCAATAAAAATGCCAGTCATCCATCAAATCAGTTAACACTGCTAAAACAGTATATTTTGACTTTAAATCCACTGCTATGAGTCCTGTCATAATTTGCAATGTGTTTGCTTTTACAATAAGTTTTTTCAGCCCAAAAAAGAATTTGGACATGCTTCTCTGGGGTTTGCATAGCAATAGAATGCCGGTCTACTATGACTAGATCCATAGTACCAGAGAGTCTTGATGTCAGTACTTGTTGTGAGGAAAGTATTATCATTGGTTGTATCATAATACCCAAGTCGCTGAAATGAACCAAGTTTGAGTATCTTATTGGTAATATAAGGGTTATATCTATTGCTTTGTGATCTTTCTGCTTCTGCTGACCATTGAAAAGGACCAATCCTCTTGTTCAAGTTTAAGTCAAGGCCTTCTGCTTCAAAGGTTGTTGTTTCATAATCAAGACTGATATACTCAATGATCTTTGTAAAGTATTCTGTGTTTATGCTTGAGATTTGTATTGCAGATTTATCTTTCCTAAAATCTTCAATTTTCTTCTCAATTCTTTCGAGCTGTGTAAGGACTTTGTCATTATTTTCCCTAGCTGAGACATAAATAGTCAAAATGAGACAACCATTATATGCACTGTGGACACAGAAATAAATTCATATGTTTGGAAATAAAAAATAAATTGACTAAATTTCCCAACAAATTTATTACAGAAACAAGCATTATATACTCTATGTCATACTACTGTGCACACTACTCTATGTCCCCAATGCCCGAGTCACAAAGTCATTATAACATTCTCTCAATAATTCATAACATCAAGGCGCACAATTTACGAGTACACTTTGAGTCACAAAGTTGTTTCCTCCCACTTACCAGACTCAACTCCTTTGTCTCTCTTGAGCTCGTCAATAAGCTCTGCAGTGGCTACAGCAGGACCGAGGGGAAGCCCAATGCCGCGAAGTTCTTCTGTAGTCAGTCTGAGGAGGGCAATACCCCCAACTCTGTTCTCCCCGATCATTTTGATGTCTTGTTCAACGAGATCATATTGCTCGCTGTTCGCGTTGAAAAACTCAAGCACCTGAGAGCTTTTCCAGTCTCGTACATTTTCGGGGAGGCCAGGCGGGATAGCTAGCATATTGTCGGACATTGGTGCAAAGTGAAAATTTTTGTTTTCGATGGGCGATGTGGCGATGTGATCTAATATACTAACGCTGATCAGTGGCTTAATCATGACATATTATTATTATTAGACCTTTGCAGTTTACTATATCAGGACCAATTAGAGTGCATGTGTATGTAAAAAATAAAACTTCATTGCTTAACAGAGCCATTAACAAACGTTACTATTGTGATTGCAATATATGATAGCGCGATGGGACAATTTGTGAGTCGTTTTTTTTTATTTAACTAGAAGTGTTCTGTGTTGCCGGCCGATTTATCGGCCGGCTTGATACATATAATGTGTGGATAGTGAATACGTATGTTTGTTATTTTTTAAATATTAGTTGGGTGGTTATTGTTGTTTTCTTATTTGATAAACTGTGAAATTTTATGTACAAAAGTCTCTGGAATTCGTGTCAGTAAATAGTAAAGCATATGGGAAATTATTATTTTCGGGAAAGTTGTTATGGTCTTTATTTACTATGCAAGTAGCAATATTTTTGGTATTGTTTTGAAGCTAATTGATTGTACTTTTGAAATATAGTAGTATATGGAAATACGTTATTTCTGCAGTTTCATGAAGTGATAGTAGAATGTTACTGATATACTACGACTTCATTAAATTATGGCTTTATAGAGATATTACCTCTGTACGTATTACCGTTGTTTTTTTTCGACAAGTATAATCAATTAGCTTCAAAGCGGCGTTGCTAAAGTTGTTGTTGGTTGCATACCGATTTTCGAAAATAATAATTTTTATGTTTTACTATATAATCAAGACAAATTTCGGAGCATGTTTCTTGTTAGTTTATTGTGGATAACTTTTGAATAGCTAATGTTTATATGAGGAAGGGGAGATATACTGATAACGACAAAACTCTGACGTATGGTAAATACATTAAAGTCCAGTTAACGAGATACGACCCTTCACCCCGTATGGATGATGTGGTCTTACATGCAACTAGAAAATTTTAGAAATACTGCTCGTATCCATCGTCAGCGTCATGCCGATTTGATGTTCTCATTCTTCTGCTGTCTCTGCTATACAATGATTACATCATAGCAGCTACACACATCAGCTGATTGTTGATGAAGATAAGTCAGTGCCTTTACCTACTTTTATTCGAACGGGTGCTTCTTACTATAAAGAAAAGGAACATCATTTAAACACAATGGTAAAGGTTAAAGGTCTACCAACTCTATTTGTTACCCTGTCAATGGCAGAAACGAATTCTGCCATAGTGATCTGTTGCGGTCGGTGTATTATTAGGGTGGGAGAGCCAATAATCTGTCGTGTGTTCACCGACAGGGGGATGTTACAAATTTAACTCAGATCGCTAATAGTGATTGTCTTTTACGACTGAACTAAATTTACAAGTGACTAATTTAAATGCGCGCTTTCCTAACCCCCTAGACGGAGTAAAATCTATACTCGTCTCTAAGTAAGGGGTACCTATAACAATATCGTTACAACTACAATATTGCTACAGAATCGAAGGGGAATATTTATATTTAATTTAAAACAGGGCGTTCTTCGATTTAGTGTTTTGACTAGTCGGGGTATCTCGTCACTTCCAATTAAATTTATAACTAATTAAACGATAAAATGGGTGATCGATGTCGAATAATAATTACGACTCGCTTGCACTCTTAAAAGGTGATTCTTGCTTCAACGGATATATCGTTAACCGAAGTATCTGCGAATGGCCTGTAAGCTAAGCTATCCCAGGCACCAATCCGGATCCACGATAATAGAAAGATATTAAATATAGGATAATTTATGATCAAGTATCAAAAGGAATTCGTAACAATTTTATTTCCTTGGATGTGATCAAATCCGTGGATTATTAGAACAATATTATTCAACAACATATGGAACCAAACAACATAAGGATTTGATGATGAGAGAAGCGCTACTTATATAAGGCTTGCCACCAAAAACTGACGAAAAATTACTGTTTTTGGTTTTGTACTGCCACCGAAAACTGCAACGGAAAATTACTGAATTTGAATTTCAAGTGTGACATTACTAAAATTAACTCGCTGCGGGTAGTATTTCGACTGCGGAGGAAGATTTTATCACATGACTTACCCAACTGCGTCAGCGTCGTAACAATACAAGACCACTGGTTTTCTCAAATAGATAGATGGATAAGATGAAACCTTGGGTCAATAAAATCATGTATTACAATGCAGTATTGGCACAATTTTGCCAAAATTATTTGCCAGTAAAATGCTATATGTAATGTGATGTTTATTGACAGTGCTATTACGCGTCTGCTCTTTTTTTGGTGTCAGCTTGCAAAGGTAACAAAGGTGATATGCTTTGATGATTATTCAATTCATAAAAGATTGGTTGGCTAAAAAATCTAGTTAGGATACATTTGGCTTTATATTTAAATATTTCATCTTCAGACATAGTATCAAAAAAGTCTTCCATGGGGGCTACATCAATACTTACGTTAGAGGATCCAACAATATGCCTAAACTTTTGCCTTTTTGGTACTGGTTCCACCTCAGAAGTAGGCGAGCCTGGTTCTAAAACTGTTCCGATGCTCATAATTGATAGATCTGATTCTTGACGACCATGCACTTGAGATGATGCTTGCTTCCCTAGCTGCTCTAATTCTCGCTCTGCTGACTCGACATTTTTTCGTAAAAGTGCTACAGCATTAACCTTTTCAAGCTTGAGCCCAATGATCTTTTTATCCCGAAGCCAATAAAGATGCCAGTCATCCATCAAATCAGTTAACACTGCTAAAACAGTATATTTTGACTTTAAATCCACTGCTATGAGTTCTGTCATAGTTTGCAATGTGTTTGCTTTTATGATAAGTTTTTTCAGCCCAAAAAGAATGCGGACATGCTTCTCTGGGGTTTGCATAGCAATAGAATGCCGGTCTACTATGACTAGATCCGTAGTACCAGAGAGTCTTATCGGTAGGACGTCAGCACCTGTCGTGAGGAAAGTATTATCGTTGGTTGTATCATAATACCCAAGTCACCGAAACGAACCAAGTTTGAGTATCTTATTGGTAATATAAGGGTTATATCTGTTGCTTTGTGATCTTTCTGCTTCTGCTGACCATCGAAAAGGACCAATCCTCTCTTTCAAGTTTAAGTCAAGGCCTTCTGCTTCGAAGGTTGTTGTTTCATAATCAAGACTGGTATACTCGACGATTTTTGTAAAGTATTCTGTGTTTATGCTTGAGATTTGTATTGCAGATTTATCTTTCCTGAAATCTTCAATTTTCTTCTCAATACTTT